CTGGAAAGGAAAAGGACATGGAAAGGAACATGGCAGTGGGAGATGAGAATCATTTCACTTGTCAGTCATTTTTGTTCACCAAGCCAAAACGCTTCCACAAAACACAAGAAAAAATGCAGTCTTTGGGAGCCTGCTAGGTCTGCAGATATAATTTCAATACTGTCTGTGGACAATGCACAGGTTGGGAAGCACCAAGGAGTTCTGGAGAGCTGCACAGCAGCATCCCTGTTGCTCAGGGAGCGCAGCGTGGTCAGAAGATCGTTGGCCGTGGAAGGCGTGTGCAAAAGTACTCAGCTAGTGGGGGGAGTTCGGAGGACAACAACGACTTCCAGCAGCTTTACGGGCTCTGACTTTTCAGGCTGGGCTCTGGATTGTCTGCTCTGCCTTGCAGGGAGCAGAATTTTTTTGTCTATGATTGTTCTGGAAGACACACAAGGGAGCTGAGTCACCTTGTGTTTCTCTTTCCTGTATCCGTCCAAGTGGATGGCCAAGTATGGACTAGCCAGAACATGGGTCAGAAGAGAAGGGTCCAGGGGTCTGTGTCCCTTAAATTGTTCTCTAGCATCTCAGGCAGGGGTTTAGCCTGTGTCTACGATTGCAAGTGCTTCCTTTGATCCGAAGTAGTCCTTGTACTTTGCTCTTCAGGGGAATCTTCCAACACGTCAGTGTGGTTCCAGCAAGTTTGGTGTGAAATGTGGATCTTGACACATTAGCTGCATTAACTGATTTCCAGGCCTAGAAAAAGTTCAAGTCTATGTGAACTTTTGCTATAAGTCAAATTTAAATTGCTGAACCAGAAGAAATCAGACCATGTTCCCCCACTATCTTTTGCGCAGCGTCCAAAAATAACTTGCAGTCCTTGTTCATCATTATTGCAACCAGAATTCCCCTTTCAAGCATCAGTCGGGTGCAGTCATGGAGAATTATCTCCACTGTGTCTCTTCTAGCCCACCTAAGCGTGAACATCGAGTTTGCTTTCAGTCAGTAGGTGTTTCTGGTGCCTTGCAGCATGTGTCAGAGTTTGAGAGCAGAGCTGCTTCTGCTTTCTGCTCAGCAATTAGATGCTTTGGCTACAGAGCTGCTTCCTTGCCTGTTCCCTCACTTCATTTCAAGCCCTCAGTGCTCTTAAGCATATATCTACATGTCATCCTTGATAATAAAGACCTGGAAAATCTTTTAAAGACATTGATGATAAAATACAGCATCTCCTTGCTTCCTTTCCCCTTTCCTCTGCCCAAGCACAGAGTCTCTCTGCAAGGAGGTCTTCCTTGCTTGACTATATATTTACATTTTAAAAGTCTTGCTACCATCTGAAGCTCTTGGCTCCAGTTTGGGCTGTTTTCTTTTTTTTTTTCTTTTTTTTTTTGTTGTTGTTGTTATTCTCTCAAGAGAAAGAAACTATGTGGGTTTCGAAGTTCTGGAATAAATGTCAAATAAAACATTCCAAGCAATTATTCAAGCTGGTAATAAGCAGTGAGACATCCTTCCTGTAGAGAAGCTGAACAATGGTTTCCTCTGACAGAAGCAAAATATTAGGAGTCTTCCATATGTTGGTGCTGATTTAAACGGCGGCAGCGTCTCTGAGTGGGATAGGAGGCCCCAGCAAGTATCTGGATATCCTGCGGGAAGAAAAGCTCTGCGGGTAACACCCAGCCTCCCCCCGACATGCCATAAAGTTCTGGGAGTTTTCTCCGTGTCTCCTCAACGTCCTCCAGTTTTGAGAGCGTTTGCTTCCTTCCCTGGCTTTTTTAATCCTTCCCATCACATCCAGCACTTCTGCAGCTTACCCCGAACACCCTAGGGAGGCAGGTTGGCCAGCCTCCACCTCAAACGCCAAGATGACCTCCAAGGAGGAGCAGTGCTGGCTGAACTTGGCTGCCAGTTTGACCTGCGTCCCCGCAGCCCCAGTGAACATGTCCCCTTCCCAGACCATGTGCAGGCTCTGCTGCAGCACTGTCTTCTCTTGCCCGAGGACAACAGCTTCGTAGGCTTTTGGCACCTTGACCCTGAACCGGACCCAGCTCTGCTCTTGGAGCACGCCCATGCGTGGTTCCAGCAGCACGCACCCTCTCCTCCACAGGCTGTACACCCTGGGGAAGGGAAGCCAGCTGGGATTGGAGAAGCAGCGTATAACGTAGTCACAAATATGAACAAAGTCCTTGTGGTCCTTGCTTCTCCCAAAAAGCCCCACTTTGTAGACACCCGACTCGGGGAGCACAACGCACACGCTGACTTTAGTCCTCAGGTGGGTGACCAGAATATACCTCTCCAAGGGGTACTTGGTGCTGATGACTTTGTCCTTACTCAAGCTGGCAGTCACCTCGACATTGGTGGGTGTGTGGAACGTAATGTTGCACTTCCCCAGCTTGGTGGTGATGATGGGAGCAGAGTGGCTGGGGTTGGAGAGGCCATGGCCACTGGAGCTGATCCCGCTCCCGCAGTGCATGCTCAGCCCTGAGGGGAAGAGTTCGTTCAGGTTGATGGGCCCCAAACAACGAATGAGGAAATTGGCCACGTTCCTGAAGGTGTCACCTCCTAAATCTTTCACAAACGCAGAGAGCCGGTAGTAACCCTGGAAAGGGCAGAGCACATGGCAGCTCAATTTCTGCTCCTCAGCTTGAGCAACCAAGCACTTCTTGCTCAGAGCAGCATCTAAATCTTTATTAACCAGCTCATATATGGCAAGCAATGGTCGGGATGTCTCGAGAGTCAAGAGCAAAGTTCCCTGTGGGGCAACAAGCAACTCCCCTTTGTGACTGCTCTGCTTGATACCAAAATCTCTCACCTTTTGGTGAAGGCCCCAGAAATGAAATGGGTTTTCAGGCAGTTTCTCTCCATTGTGTGGATCCAGACATTGGATCTGATAGGAACACACCCAGTTGTATGGGTCCTGAGAGTCAGCGTGGCGCGCAAAGATCATGAGGTCGAACAAGCCCTTTGTTGGGGGAGTCACCTTGATGGTCACGTTGTTCTCAGACACCGTCATCATCCCGTGAACTGTGCCTACATCTTCTCCCATTGTGGTGCCCTGGAGTTTGGAGAGCTGGTAGGTGAAATCTATTGGGTGGGTGCTCCCCAGCATCACTGACACTTCCCCGTGGGCTGCCGAAGGGTGAACAAAAGACCTTTTACAACCCTTTCATCAGCATTGTAACACATCTTCACTTTTGCAGTGTTGACCCAAATCATCTGCACGGGAGGCAGAGACCTGATTCTCCTTCTCTTTTTCCCCTTTACCTGCTGAAGGACCTTAGCAAGACCCTGCCTCACCTTTTACCATTTTTCTTACCTTGCTGAGAGAGGAATGATGATACCACTAGACCCGGAGATGAAGAGGACAGGTACAAATAGTTATCTTTGGGCTCTGAGACACCCAAAACTAAGGTAATGATAGCCATATGGAGGTAATTCTTACATGACTTCTGGAGATGGAGTCCTTCCTCTGAGCTGCAGGTCTTAATACTGTGGTGTCAAACCAGCAGAGGAGCTGGGAGGATCAAAATACCCTAGCCTTGTTGCTAGGAGATCCCACATCACAGCCACATTTTACGAATAAGTTTAGTTTTTCCCATTATTACGCTTAAAATATTTTTTTGTAGATTCTGGCCTCACCAAATTACAGAAGTCCACAAGCTTCTGACTTGGAGTGTGCGCTAACCAGGGAGGAGGGGAGAGCACGAGGTCCAAAGGAGAGGTGCCTTTGTATGGGTACCTGCTGGTGGTAGTACCGTGGTTGCTGGATAAGTGCTGGGGATCTTTCCTGATGACTTTTGTTCCTTGGGTGGACATAAGCAATCTCCTGCTCAGGGCCACCACGTACCACCCAACACCTCCCCAGCAGCAAAGCAACCTGCTCCCCCAGGCAGAGCACAGCAGGCGGCTTTAAAGCCAATTTGAACCCACCCTCAAACCCAGAAATGAAGCACCACCAGGGCAGGTCACCATGAAGACTGGTGGTGGGCTTTGTTTCACCCCCACCCTCCATGTGCCATGTCTTGCTCCTTGTAAACCCATTCTGCAGTAAGGGAGAGCACTTCTCGGTGCAGCAAGCCATCCCGAGGGATTTCCATCTGCTCCTGGGCAGAAGGGGCGATTGGTTGATTTTGCAGTGGAGACAGGGCAAGATTTCACAAGCCCTGAAGTCTTGACCCTGAAGAAGCCAGGACTGTCTAACCAGCAGACAGCAGGCTGCTTTCAGCACGTGGTGAGCTACATCATTCCATGTGAAGCCACAGGTACTGGGACAGCCTGGGTAGAAAACCTTGCTTTAATGGCATTTTATAACTTTTTTTCTCCAGGTATAGATGAAAGCATGAAAGAAATGTCCACGGAGAGCAAGACTTTTGCACTTGAAGGATTCCAGAGTGCTTCACAGAGCCTGGCACTGGCACACAGACATAGTGAGATGCGTGCTTAAACCTTCTGTCCTCAAGGTCTGGGGAAATCAAGCCTGCTCTTCGTTATCCAGGGTCCCTAAGCGCCCAAGGATGGTTTGTCTCACATCCAGAGCGTGGCTGCTCTGCATCGTCCCGTCCTCACCACGTTTGTGCTGGAGAGAGGGGACAACCGAGCAGTGGCACCGCGGGAGACCGCGGCTGGTATCGGCACCCGCGCTGTGCACAAGGCTCATTTGTTTTGGGTGCTAACACAAAATGACAAAAGACTCCAGATTCATGCTGAAAAAATTGTCCCTTGCTAATTATTAGATTATGAAACGAGTTTTGTAATCTAATGAATAATGAGGGGGACAACTTTTTTTAATTTCCCCTCCCCGTTTGAATCTGGATATTTTCATTGTTTGCCCCACAATTTTTGTTGGTAGGTTGAAACGGAGACGTGAAAAGAATGGGAAGGCTGGGTTTGATTTGTGCCTTGCCTGTTAAAGCTGTGACTTGGCTCACACAGTAAGTGCAAACAATTCTCCCCTGGCAAGTGTTCAGTGGAGACATTACTGATGACAGACTTTATTAACTGCAGGTTTGCTTGTTATTAAATTCGCTCTATGCGAGTTTCCGAAGCTGCTGGCCTGGCCGGCTGCATCGTATTAGGATCTTTAGGAAGAAAGAAAAGAACAGAACATTGTATGCAGCGGAGCCAGCGATGAGGAGATAGAGGAGCCAGCAACGCATTTCGCTTTGGGAAGGAGACCCAAGGAGATAATTAATGGCTACGTTTAAAACAAACATTTGTTTGTTTTATTGAGTTAATTCAAGCCATGCGCTGGAGGTTCCTGGTTTTCAGGGGGGCCAGGTGAAGCTGGGGATGTGTTCCCATGCCAGCACGCTCGGTGCTGCAGGGGGTCGATGTATGTTGCATTAATTGTTTGGGGGTCGGAAAAACCACCATTAAACTACAGGCGTGTTTCTAATTTCTCAAACCCTTGTTTAAAAGGCTTCCCTTCCCCTCTCCCACCCTAACTATTGTATCTACAGCATGCCACCAGTGACTGCCTTTCTATACAAGAAAATTAATCTTATAAAGTCTTAATCCTGTGGGATTAATGCCCTTCATCACTGCGGTTACCAACCCTAATGCCCGGGTAACGTTAGCAATTAAAAGGGCTGGGATTTCAGAGGATGGGTGCCAGGTTTTTCCTGAAAGTCAGGTCCCTCTGCAAGGTGTCCCACCTTTGGCTCCCATCAGATAGTGATTTGTAGGGAGACTCTTGGCCGAAAGCTTATAAGCATTTTAAGCAGATGGGAGCTGCTCAAATATAATCGAGCAGGAATAGATCCACAGTTGCCAAAAAGGGAAAAAAAGCAGATTTTGCACCGAAGATCTTGAGCGGTTTTGCACGAAGATTGCCTTAGATGCTTAGGCATACCCTGTAAGGTGATGGCTAATTTTTGTCAACCTGGATTCATATAACCATAATTTTGGACCAAAAAAAGCAGACATCTCATTTGGTTTGCAATCTGCGTTCGCAATTTGGTGTTTTAAGCACAGTTCTGATATGAGGCTGGCTGTTGAGGCTAATTGAAGTAGTCAGGTTAAACTGTTCAGGTTAGGTCCAGGAACACAGTTCTTTCCCTCCACAGGAAAAGAAATTCACGGGGGCGGAAGTTGGCAATTTTTTTTTACTGTTCTACCAGGAAATTCTCCTTTCATCTCAGTTTTGAAGGAAAAAAAGACAAGTGTGCCAGCAGCCCAGGTCACCCAGTGAAGTTTTGTGGTTGTGGGACAGGAGTTCCTCCAGCCAAGGGGCTGCAAAGGAGTGAAGTACCTGGGATGTGCCAGGCAGGTTTGCTTCCCTGACTGCTCTCCCCAGGTCCATTTTGGCTCGTGGCAGCTAGTGGCCAGCAAGGACCCAAAGCCCTGAGCTGCCTCTAGGCTCCATCCCTATGTCTTTTGGCTGTCAAAACTGGGGGAGCGAGGAGAGACAGTAATGAAACACTTATTTTTCCTCATTCTTCCTTTTGGGGTTTTGTACCACCACTAATGGTATTTGGTGAGAGTCTATGTTTTGCAATTTATTGCTTTGGCACACAGATGAAGGGACTGGTTGGACTATTGACCTCCTGGGTTTTTTTTTTTTGAGACTGCAGACGCTGGGTGATTTAGTTGTTTGCCCTGGAGTGTCCCTGGTGACCTGAACCTGAAAGAGTTTTCTCCACATCTCCATTCCTGCATTTGCCGTGTAGGTGCTGCGTGACCTTGGACAGAGGTAGATAAATTCCCCTCCCCAGGATGCGCTGAGGTTCTGCAGTGGAGAAGCACCATGAGAGCTTTGCATAAAAGGCAGCATCGACCATTCAGCTATTCCCAGTTCAACTGGATTTGCGTGATAGCCCATCTCGGCAAAGCCCCAGTATCCTGGAAATACTGCAGGAGTTTGATTTCTGGGTAAGCAATAACCTCTCTCCATCAAAACCTTTACAGTGTACCTTGTCTGTCATACATTCATTTTCTGTAAGCCTGACAACTCCCCTCAATCTGGTCTTGCTTTATCTCCTAGCTTGCTGTCTTGATAAAATAAATTGCAGGAAAAATTCCATATACTCTTGGGACCACCCAGGGGAATGGATGTACAGTGTCTGGGTAAAAAGAAGATCGTGGTGTTTCCAACCTGAAAAATTGTCTTAAAACCACAATTGAGGAAAACTAACTCCAGCCTCCTCCCTTCATGTTTAAAAATGGGACGTGAACATTTCAGGCCATGTTTTATCTGGGAGTCTCCCTCCCCAGCTTACGAACGCAAGGAGGATTGTGTCTCAGGTACGTTGAAGCTATCTTGCTACTGTTGGTGAATTTAGATGGGAAAAGCCAGGCACAAAAGGGCTTAAGTGATTTGGCTCAATTAACTATAATTTATGAGTGCTAATTCCCAGTTTACTAATCACAGTATCACACAATGGCTGTGATTTCAGAAATTGCTTAAATATGTGCCTCTGCTCTACTAGATGTTTAACATGTGTTTAAAAATAGGCAGATGGGCCATTTTTGAAGAAGAAATGTTTTCCCTAACCCAGACTTCTTTCTGAAAAGCAAGAGAGCTCTTAGATTACTGGGATTTAGCCCTCGCTTTGCATTTACCTGTTTTGAGGAGGGAAGTGTTTGGAGAAAGGAGGGAGAGCTGAAGTTTGAAAAACTCTGAAGTTTTAAAAACTCTCTGCTCAAAGTCTTCCCGCGAGAGGGGGGGCTGCAGAAGCTGCCATTGGGGGTCATCTGGCCAGTGGGTCTCAACGAAGTGCTCAGGGTCAGTAAGGAAGAAAAAATCATCATGCCTGCAAAGTGAGAGGAGACACCATGGAAGGAGCAAGAAAACCTTTCGCATCCCGAGAGGTCACAATGCACTGCTGTAAGGGAAGGGAGCTTCCTCCACACCATCAGAGCTGCATCAGCTTCAGGAAGGGAGGACCAGGCTCTCATTTGGCATTTCATTTTCTGCTGCATTCATTTTCTCTCCATTTTTCCTCTACTGAGGTGCCTAGAGCTGAAACTGCAGTTCCCAGCCTTGTAACAGACCTCTTCCAGCAACCAGTTAAGGTGACTCAATGAGCTGCAGAAGAGAGAATTTTCCTGAGTGGTTCCTCTACCAAGGACTGTTACTTGAGGACATACTTCAATATGACATCTGATCTTGATTTAAAGCTCTTCCAAGAATTTATGTATGATTTAAGGAACAAAATGCATCTTGGTTCCAATTTCAATGTGCCTAACCTGCCTTTCCAAACATCACCCCTGCTTAGATGTTCGCTGAGTGGGTCAGCCTGCAGACATGTGCTCAGCCTTGTACTGGGGCCGTCCTGCAAAGCCCTGCTGTATCTGTTGTCCTGGAGGTTTTGAGGACACTGTGTTGGACACACAAGACGCTGTTATCTCTGCCTGTTGCTCTAGCTGGTATCTCATTCTCCCTCTCCTGTTTTCCCCGTGCTCAGATAAAAACAGCCCACACTCACTGGTGTTTTAAACTGTTCTCAGCAAGATAATTACCTGTTAGAAATTCCACAATTATTTCATTATGCATTATTAGAGAAAAAAAAATTAAAAATGCAATCCCACAATGCAGTTAATGGAAATTATTAAACAGTACAAATAACTTTCTTGAGAGTCATTATTTGCATAGCATGGGCTGAGAAATCTCAAGTAATTGCATATGGAACCACATAAAGGCAAAGCTGCTGTGAAAATGGGGATTTGTTACTTCATAAGCGATGCTCATTGCAGATGAAAAACAATTTTGGAGGGGTGAAGTTATAATCTGAGAAGTTACTGCCCCAGATCATGGAATAAGGCACTTCACATAGATGTTTATGTATAGAGGGCCCACGTTTGCATGAGGTCCCTGAGCACCCGCTGTAGTTGAGGACGAGGAGAATAGCTCTCTGGACCTTCTGCATGTAGCTTCTGGGGTTGTGGCTCAAACAGCGGCTCAAGGCCTCGTGAACCCAGACTGGTGAACCCAGAGGCTTATTGGAAGGGTTGGGATGACCATTCTGGGGTATCTCCAAAGTCAGGTTGAGCCTTGTCCATTTGTATTGAGGACCAAGTCTCCAGTGATGGCAGGGGAAGGGGTGTCTCACCTGGGCACGAACAACCTGTTCTCTTCATCCACGGTTCCTGCGCCCCAGCAAGCATCCAGGAGGCACCACTGTCCTTCCAGCTTTACCGCGTTCCACATGTGGCTGCTCTTCTGCTGCTGGCACCACCGGCCTCCGCGGGAGCCTGGGCTCCGGCCAAACCCTGGGACCTCCACACAGCTCAAACCCACCTCCCTGTCCAGGGAGAGCCATCAGGGGAGATAACCACAGACCAAACATTGCTTTGTGCTTTCTTCCTTGGAGATCAACCCAACCTGCATGGTAAGTACAACCTCCTTCTTCTTAAAGCCAGGGCCCCACTCATGCAAGCTGTTGGCCAAATTCGGCTTTTATCCAGCCCCCTGCTTTCCCCACAACTACTCCCAACCCTCATCCCTCATATCTCTGGCTCTGGTTAATCTGTCAAAGCCGTGTATACTCCTCCATTCCAGCAGAGGAGGAGGGAGGCAGCTGCTGTGCCAGGGGACGTGTTGGGTAAATGAAGCTGGTTGTGTGGCAAGCCCCATGCCAGATGCATGTCCCTACCTGAGACCTTCAAGGGGGCAGGAGGAGAAAGCCCAAGGTGAGTTTTACCTGCACATTTCCTTGCATAAATGGGCATAACCAGAACACACAGCTCTTCCCGTTTGCAGGACCTGCTCTGGAACGTGGATCTTCTGAGACAGCCCCAAGAAGCCGTCCACATCATATTCTAGGAAAGGGAGAATACCATGCAATTTCAGGCCAAAGTAAGGGCTTATTATTTGCAAAATGATCCCATTCCTCCTCCTGCCCAATCCTATTTCTCTGCCTACCCGCCCTGGAAGCCATGACGGCTCTTCTACCCATCATTATTCAAGAGTTTGACAGTTCCCCATATGAGCAAAGCATTGCCAAAGCCTTGGGGGAGTTGGGTTCCCAGCGCATGTAAACAACCATTGCACCATTCAAGTGAGGTACAGTGACAATCATATTGTCTCTCACACATGGATGTAGTAGGGTAAAGTAGCACGAAGCGGCTGCATTGTGCTGAGATTCCTGTGTCCCCAGATGACTGCTGCCAGGCATAGCTCAGCCTCATCAAATCTGCATCATCAGGGAAACAATCTCCAATACGTTGAAGCTAGGTGCACCGGAGCTGGGTGGGCTTTACCGGTGTCTCTGGGAGTCTGACCACCCAAGTGGTGCTGTAGGTTGAGCCTGAAGCAGGTATCATTTCTAGAATGGAAGGTCCCATGGTGGGAACCAGTTCCTACCCCAGGCACTTTTCTGAAGTCAAGAAGAGGAAGTTTCAGTTTCATGACTGCAACAGGAATACTGTGAAGTCTCTATTCTGCAGGGCATGAAGAGCCTCAATTCAGGAGGTGCAGATGAAGAAAGAGCTTTTCATGTCTCTGCAGAACAGCGGGACCAGACTTACCGATGTTGTGGCAGAGCCAGAACCATATTGCCCGCATCATCTCCAGCTCGCTCCGGGATTTGGCCGTGATCAGGGGAACGATGGCCTGGATGGACAGCCTGGTGTGCTCGGACTTCAGCTGCAATGGAGAGGACGGGTGAGTTAAAGGGAGCCTGGATATCACTGCTGCATGGGTGGCTGACCGCTCCACGTGGTGGGCTTGCTGGAATGAAAATATACACCAAAAAAACCCCAAAGCTGCATTTTTTTCCCCCCAGAATCCAAAATGAATAAATACTGTTTGCAGTAGGACAGGGTGTTTTCTCCATTTTCCTAAGCATGGTTTTATAAAAGCCTGAGGGCTGGAGTTGCAAGCTGGAGGAAATGAAGGTGGCATTTCCTGTTCCTTTGGAGCAGCTGGGTGGGACGTACAGTGTCATTGCTCTGGTGCCTTCTCTGTCCAGTTCAACATGTCCTCTGGCCCAGAAGGTCATGTGCTAGAGGTGGGTCTCTCCAGTGGTGCTGCTCTGCGACACTTAACTGGGGATAGTGGCTTTCCAGCCCCACATCGATGAACATCTCGGTGTATTTATGCAGAAGAGGACCCGACTTACGACTCGGATGCTCTTCTTGCGGCTGTGACATCTCACTCAAACCCACGCACCAAAATGGGTGGAAAGAAAATGTTTGCCCCTACCAGTAAAATTTCACTAACATTTTAATCCATACCTCACCCCAAAGAAAGCCTTTCTGCCCCTTTCCTCCCATTCACGCATTCATATTTCTGGGCTCTTCCCTCCTTTGTGACAGCCCAAGCATTTTTAGCAGCAGGCTTTTCTTTCACGGAGTTAAATTTAGCCCAGCTCATTCCTCCCAACTCCTGCCCCTGCTATTTCATCCCTCCGTGACTCTCCTGCCCCAACCATCTGTAAGAAAATTTCACAGCTATCTTTCTATCACAACAATTTCTTTCTTTTTACTTATGGGAAATGTTGCATTTGTAATGGATGAAGATTTTCCTTGGGATATAGGTTTCAAAATGATATTGCAGCCAGGAGAGCACCTACATCAAAATGCTGGTGGTCCTGTTGGTCCCTTACATTTCTGTCATGAGGTTGTTATGAGGGTGCAGCTGCCAGGCAGACAAATAATATGAATTATTCCCAAGGAAAAAAATAATACTCAGCCATTAAATATCTAGCTACCTGCTTCCTTGCTGGCACATCTTGGTGCAAATTCAGCCCAAGTCCACGCTATTCTTAGTTTCAGTCAGAGCTGGTAAAACATAGGTCCTAGACTGAGAGTTGCAATGTTCCCAAATAATCCTGTTCCCAACTATGCCTGAAGACCCTGAAGAAATGAGTCAGAGCATCTTGTGTTTCTGTAGCTGCTGGCTCCACCAGACTATTTGGAGTTGACGGATGGAGCTGTTTTCTCCAAAACCACCCAGGCACTGATCCTGCCAAGGCTTTTTCACATGGTTAAGGTGGACGCACGCAAGCAGTCCGCAGGCTACTCCTAAGCGGCCAGGAAACAGGTTCAGCTTTGCACCTGCACTGCCTGGGGCTCTCCCTCCTGCTCCCTGGGCACTGGCAGCAGGGCTTGGTGCTTGGCGAGAGGGAACAATCCCGTGTCCCCACTGGCTGAGCAGCAGCCATCACCAGGGGTGCAATACCCTACTCGCAGGTGGTCAGTAAACTGCTCTGCTGCTGCTCTTGGCACTGGTAATTCATGGCTGGGAGGAAGAGACGCAGTACACCAGGTTTTAGTGCAGCTAGCACTTTGGATAAACAGAGAAACAAGTTGTTCCCATGACTCCCCACTGCCTTGGAGGTATTTTTGGTTGTTTATTATCCTCTTTTTCCTATCTTCCAACTCCCTCCCCCTCTCTTCTCTTTTTAATAGACTAGGTAGGCTCTGAAATCCTTAAGCATCCTTCTTCCCAAGGGAGATTAGCCTGGGGCTAGGTACAAATTACAGGCTTCAACAATAACAGAGAGTACAATTATTCCTTATGCCTCTTTGCTCTCACTAACAAGTTGACGTGTAAGCTGCAAACCCCGCACTGGTTCAGCATTCGCTGCTTAGTCAAATTGTGCTGACCCTGGGGGAGAAATTACACTGACAGTGCGTGGTCCAGGTAACAGGAAGGAATTACAAAATTCAGTGCTCCTCTTCTGGGCTCCCGAGCATCTAGAAACTGGGAGCATCATGTAACGGCAGACAGCCTGAAAAGAGGACGCAACCGATGCCTCCTGCTTGAGAAAATCAGGCCTGGGCCTGCCACAGGCTTGAAGGGGTTGGTGGACATGGCCAGACTGTGCGGTTGTTGCTGGATCCATGTGTTTTTTACAGAGGAAGCTTGTTGGCTCACCATCTCCCAGACTGCACTGCCTCGGGGCATACTCTGGTCTGAGTCCCTTCCTCTCCCCCTTGCACCCTTCCTAGAAGGGTTTCCAGGAACCCCCTACTCTACTACAATCCTGTTTGGGACCCTGAAAAAATCCTGTCCCACCCCTTCTTCCCAGTTTTGCATGATGAGCTGCAGCAAGCACTGAATACTTCAGCTACACACTGGTGCTGGCTGGAAGCAGGTCACTGTGGGCCTTGGGTGGGCAGCAGATCTTCAGAGGTAGAACAACAATCTTTGGCCATGGTTAGGACCAATAAACAGCCCGGGACCTTGTGAGATCTCCTAGTTTCGCTGTAAGGCACCACCTTGTCACTGCTGTCGTCAGAGCATACGGTGAAGGGTTGAATGTTAGGGGTTGGAACTAGATGACCTGCAAGGTCCCTTCCGACCCAAACCATTCTACAATTCTATGTGGATCTGCCAGTGCCACCATCTGCTGATGACACCATCTGTGTTGCTCCTGAAGGACACCAGGACCTACCTGCTGGCTCACGTGTAGGACGTGTCTGTCTACATGGCTGAAAACCTTGGAGTCAGAGAAGAGATCTCTCCTGGTCTTTCTCTGGACATTTTTAGCCCGCTTTTCTTCTTCCAAGCTGCTAAGCCCTTCCTCGAGAAGGAGGGCTGGAGAGCAGCTTTCCGCAGTCACAGAAGACTTCTGCAGTAGCTTTTGGAAGGCAGTTGTTTTGCTGCTGTTAACTTTGTTGGCCCAAAACAAGAAAACTGCCTTGGAGGCGGATTCCTTGGGCTCATCTCTTGCTTTCTGTGTAGCTGAGATTTCCTTTAGCACCCCCTCCTTGCTCCTGTTCACCTTGGTGACTCGGTGAGGGAGTTTCTCTGAGGTCTTGCAGCTGATCTCTTCAGAAATATGTCCCAGGGGAAAGTTGCCATTACAGACGTCTGACATCTGACCTTCCCCCCAGCCAGGCAAGATGTTTTCTGTCTGGGATGGCATCGCGTTTTCTCCGTGGTTCCTGGGATGGGTCCATCTCGATGTGGTTTGTTTTTCATGGTGGCTGCCAATCCTTGAACGATGGGAGGGAATTGGCTCGTTTGCTTTGATAGTCTGGGATTTGGATGATTTTTGTCTGTCATAGCTGGTTTTCATCTGTGTGATGGGTAAGGGGGTGATGAAACCACGGAGGTCTGCTGATGGGAAGAGAAATTATTTTTTTCAGAAGAAGAATGTACTCTGCATCAATTACTTCAGAGCCTGCCTGTCTCTATGGTTAATTTCAGAAAATCAGGATTTGGTCAGTCGGGTTTAGACAACAGTACTGATTTTTTCCTACTTCCAGAAGTAAGGTGGGATGACAATGGCACAGAGAAGCCCTTGGCCTCTTTCCAAGTGCAAATATGGGTTTTTTTTTTTGATTGTTGGAGATGCAGTGGTGGCCTATCAGAAGTTACATCTCTGCACTAGAAGAAACTGGAAAAATCAGGGTTAGTACTTTTGCAAAGAAACAGCAAGGAAGTATTTATATGTATTGGAAGGGTCTCTAAGTGGGTGCAGGGAATGGGTGGGCACCTTGGTTTCCCTACCTGA